TCTGGCTCTTTATGATTCCTGGAGCCCAAGGCCCTCAGGGCCTCAAGCCTTACAGCGTAAGCCCTTAACTACCCTAAACACCGACCCTTAAAAAAACGACCATCCGGAGAACAAAGAAACTTGTGATAATAGCGGGTGACCCCAACAAACTCAGTTCGCAGAACAAGTTTTCGAAACTTGTGATTCTAGACCCCATCAATACTAAAACCGGTGCAACATTGATCTATTCCTCAAGGAGCAAGTGCCATAATGTCTCCTCGAAACTACGACATCTAGACCAAACCCCTAAACCCCAACGCTAAAACCTAAACCCTGAACCCTGAACCCTAAACCCTAAACCCTAAACCCTAAACCCTAAACCCCTGAACCCTTTGACTCTTACTTAGGTCGTCAAGCGCGGGGACATCGCGGCGACTCGACTGGAAGAGGGGCTCTCTCTTGCTTGGTGGCTTTTTTGGGGTTTAGGGTTAGGGTTTAGGGTTTAGGGTTTAGGGTTTAGGGTTTAGGGTTTAGGGTTTAGGGTTTAGGGTTTAGGGTTTAGGGTTTAGGGTTCAGGGTTCAGGGTTCAGGGTTCAGGGTTCAGGGTTTAGTTAGGGTTTTGGGTTTTGGGAGGGCTTAGGTTTGTTCGACAGCCTCTGGTCTAACCGGACACTTTGAGGACAGAGTAGGTTTTCGGGACCTAAACCCTAAACAGTAGGCCCTTCTTCTTTTTCTTGAGGAGTTTAGGTTTCCCTTGCAAGCCCCGTGACACCAAAAGGTCCCCCTGGTATTCCTAGCTTACTCTTGGGCCTAGCAAAGCCATAGGCATCATCAGGAGATGCTGTCGGTCAATCATTCAGCTCGTGTCTCGGGCCATATCTGGAAAGATCGAATAAGGTGTGTACGTTGACATGGTTTAGGGTTTAGGGTTTGAGGGTTTGGCGGGTTAGAGGGTTTGACGGTTGGGCTTGAGGGTAATGATAGGATTGGTCTGTTGAGGCGTCATAGCGCCACAATGACCCCCCCCCCAAAAAAAATATACGCGAAGCCCTCAACCCTAAACCTTAAACCCTAAACTAAACACAACCCTAAACCGCAGCTCAGATCATGCTGCTTTTGACCTACACGTCGGTGGCCGACGACTCTTTGCTCCGTGGGGGGGGGGGGGGGAAGGGGGTTTCTGAAAACTAGGGCGGCACTGTGTTGGCAGGTTGTAGGGTTTAGGGTAACTGAACCCTAAACCCTGAACCCTGAACCCTAAATCCTAAAACGCAGTCTGCGCTGTTCTCTGTAGGGTTTACTGAGTTGGGCCCGGGGTTTGGGGTTTGCAGGAAGCCCCATTCCCTGAACCCCAAATCCTACACCCTAAGCCCTAAACCCTCATCCATTCTTCGATGGGCCCAGGGATGAGGAGCTGAAGGGTTTGGGGTTTAGGGTTTAGGGTTTAGGGTTTAGGGTTTAGGGTTTAGGGTTTAGGGTTAGGGTTGGTTTTGGGTGTAGGGTTTTACGGTTTAGGGCTTGCGGCTTAAGGTTCTAGGGTTTAGGGTGCAGGCTGTGCGATCAGGAGCATGAGCTTGCTACGCAGTCGCTTTGGGCTCGAACGGGGCAATATCAGGAGTCACCGGCTGACTCAGATGCTTCAGGGGTCCCTATACATACTTAAGTAGCTCCCAAAGAACCCCTAAATTACCCCTAAGGCTTATTAAGGGTCCCTCCTTTCGTCCCTTGAAATGCTGCGCATCCGGATGCTCTCTGGGGAAGAGCTCACGAGCGTGCCCCTGGAGGAGGTGGGCAGCGTGATGGACGTGAAGCGGCGTCTGCATCACTTGCACGGGCTGCCGCCCCGGTTCAGGCCTTAGGGGCTGGGTAGTTAACCTCTATCCCTTTTGGTCATTATAGATGTATATAAACAATTAAAAGAGTAGATATAGATAGAAAACAAATATAACTATCAATATGAATATAAATAAATAAATATATATATATATATAAATACATATATAATCCGATTGCAAATGAAAGGTAAACCTTTTTGGGCTACTTGGAGGTTCATGGTACTTATTACTAATGTAAGTACAGTTATAAGTGCAGTTTTAACTGGTCAATAAGTACCATGAACCTCCAAGTGGGGCCGGGGTCCCTAAACCCTATAAACCCTAAACCCTAAACCCTAAACCCTAAACCCTAAACCCTAAACCCTAAACCGCAATGATCTTTGGTATTCAGCCCCCTAAGAGGCAGAGGCTTTTCCTCCATGGTGCGACTCTGGACGACGCTGAATTGCTAGATGCTCCCCTGGACCTGGACGTGGTGGTGCACCCTGGAGATTATCAGTTTAGGGTTTAGGGTGTACGGTTTAGGGTTAGGGTTAGGCTTTCGGGTGTAGGGTTTTGGGTTTAGGGTTTAGGGTCCAGGGTTTAGGGTTTAGGGTTTAGGCAGCTTGTGAGTTTACAGGGATTGATACAGCCTATGTATACCGTCCAGATACGGTATTCTAAAGTCTCATGCGCAGGCCCAAGTTTAGAGATTCTCCCCAAGGCAGGCGTTCACCGACGCTTCCAGCACGCAAGTGGACGAGCTCCTAACGGCTTGTCGAGATGGCCTCGCGAGCGAGGCGGGGGTGGGGGGTGGTTGCAGAGCTTCAGGCTACGCACAAAACTATGGTCCTTGTTGGTTACCCTAATGATTCGGAGCCGTCTCTTCTACAAGTAAACAGCTGGACCATAGTTGAGAGAAGTGACCAGATGGAAAAGCAACTTGTGAAGGAACCGCAAAGACAGCTTCAAGCCCTTAGCCCCGGCTGCAGGTCGAGTCTCTATTGCAGCTTCCCTTGGACCCGAACGTGGTCAACGCAAGCGCTGAGGGGCCGCTGCTCAGGGCATCCGCCGCGGGCCATGCTGAAGTTGTGCGCTTGCTGCTGGAGGCTGGTGCCGACAAGGATGCGACCGGCACCAGCAGTAGCTGCACAGCCCTGATTTTAGCAGCTCACAAGGGTCGTCTTGAAGTCGTGCGTTTGCTGGTGGAGGCTGGTGCCGGCAAGGACATCACAGACAAATTCGGCCTCACGGCCCTGACGGCAGCAGCTCGGTCGGGTCAAGTTGACGTCGCGCGCTTTCTGGTGGAGGCCGGTGCAGACAAGGACGTGGTCAGCAACGCTGGCCACACGGCCCTGATCCTTGGGGACGAAATGAGCCCTAAAATTTGGGGGGTCATATACCCTGAGTACTATAATTCCTATTAAGGTATATGAACGATAAACCCTGTTAGGGTTCATTTAGTCCCCAAGGATGTTCGCAACTCGCCATGGCCATCTTGACGTCGCGACTTTGCTGGTGGAGGCCGGTGCCAACAAGGCCGTGGCAAACAGCGATGGCCGCACAGCCCTCACGCTAGCAACGGAGCTTGGCCGCAGTGAGATCGCACTCTTGCTGGATGGTGCCGACACATGATGTGGCCAACAGCAACTGCTCCTTCTACTCTCCGTCACATTTTAAATAGGGCCCCCAAAGCCTACCCCAGATAGGGGCCCGCTCGAGAGAAAACCTCTCAAATTTCTTGTGCTCCGTTCAGGTTTTGGGGTGTTACGGTTGGGATGTTCCCCCTCATACTAGCAGTCCTGACGAGGGATTGTAGTACCCCCTATTCTAATCTTTATGAAGGACTGTTCGTATAAGGGGGAACATCCCAAGTGTTAGGGTTTGCAGTAAATTCCATAAAGTTGGAACATGGTTTAAGGACGATTCGTGCCGGGATTTCCTTTAGCAACCCTCTCCTGGAACATGAGATTAATGATTTTCCAACTTTTGGGAGGTTACTGGATGAGTGTTGGGTTCAGGGCTGCATTTAGGAGTATCCCTTAGCCGGGTCTCTTTGTCATGTGGCCGGGGTCTGTTTCAGGGTTGAGGGTTTGGCATAAATCCTGCATTCCGACCCCTAAACCCTGAACCCGGCCTTCGAGCCCTTGAGCCCCTAAGCAACAAACCTGTGCCACAACGGCTAGACGGACATGCACCTATCTTTGCGCAGGAGTTTCCTTCGGATTGACACTTCGGGTTCTGCAAGAATAGTGCTCTCCATATTCGGAAACCTTAGGAGGGAAACTGCATGGAAGGAACCTGCGAGTAAAAGAAGCCTAAGCCCCCGAATGAAGTGGGTTCAGGGTTTAAGGTTTAGGGTTTTAGCCCTAAACCCTAAACCTTCGAGATGTCGTAGACGACGTATCTCTATTCCCCAGCCAGGATTTGGACTACATGAACGGGTTTATTGTTCATACACCGACCCCCTATTAACTAAAGGTTCTGCTTCCCTACACCCGAAACTCCTAAACCTGTGAACCCCTAAGCCCCTCCCCCCCCCCCCCTCCCTAATTTTGGGAGTCACATGGTCCCCAGGGTTGGTTTGCGTTCGAAGCAGGGTTAAAGGCTACAAGCGGAATTCTTACTCTTTAGGGTTTAGGGTACCCTGTTTGCCCTTCTTTGGGTTTTCAAGGTTCCCCTGTACAGTAACCAACCCACAACGGGTACCCTTACTATAATCTTGTTACTGATTCGCAACGAGGACGCGGGGTAGGCCCTTATTCCCTGTTTTGAGATTCAGGGTCCCTAAACCCTAAACCCTAAACCCTAAACCCTAAACCCTAAACCCTAAACCCTAAACCCTAAACCCTAAACCCTAAACCCTAAACCCTAAACCCTAAACCCTAAACCCTAAACCCTAAACCCTTCAAAACAAAAAGGCCAGCCTTTTTGATACCTAGGTTACTCTTGGGTCTGGTGACAGGCTTGCCCTGCTCAATGGAATATTTTGGGATGTTTCCCCTTATACTGACTTAGGGTTTAGGGTTTAGGGTTTAGGGTTTAGGGTTTAGGGTTTAGGGTTTAGGGGTTTAGGGTTTAGGGTTTAGGGTTTAGGGCATAGATCCGGCTAAGCCTCGCACTTCCAACTACCCTGGTAGCGGTTGTGAAGCCCTCTTGCAATAGGGGGGGTAAGCAACAAACCGGTGCCCCAACCGCTAGACGGACATGCGCCTATCTTTGCGCAGGAGTTTCCACGGATTGAAACTGCGGATTCTGCAAGAACAGTGCTCTCCACATTGGGTAACTCTAGGAGGGGTTCTGCAAGAATGGAACCTGTGATAAAAGCAGCCTAAGCCCGCGAATGAAGCCCTCAGCCCTAAGCCTTCCACATGTCGTAGCAGACGTATCTTGGTTATTCCTCTGCCAGGATTTGGGGGACGAATTGAACGGGCTTATTGTTCATCCACCGACCCGGGTTCGTATACCCTAATGAAAAAGCTAACCTCTTTTAAAAACCCAAAAGGGCGCCCTTTCTATGCCTTAGGTTACTCTTGGGTCTAGGGTACGCATGTGTCGCTGATTTGCAGCTGCTCCCGCTGGCCATGCGAGCTCGAGATGCACTCAGACAGGTGACAGATTGCCATGCCCTATGGGAATATTTCGGGATGTTCCCCCTTATACTAGCCGTCCTCAGTAGGGATTAGAGTAAACCCCCCACTATCAGAATCCCTATTAAGGACCGTTAGCATAAGGGGTAACATCCCAAAGGCGTCTTCGGCTTAATCCTGGCCCAAAAAGGCCTTAAGAGATGAGACTTAGCCTTGCACCCCACCCTGCGCAGAGGCTGTGGAGCCCTCTTGCAATAGCGTAGGCTTGGGATGTTCCCCCCTATACTAATAGGACTAATAGGGGTCACAATATGGGGAGGGTACTAGAATCGCGATTAAGGATCGTTAGTATAAGGGTGGAACATCCCAAGTGTAGGCAATGAAGATAGAGCCCCCCCCCCCCCCCCATGTGCACCCGAAGACACGTCCCGAAACTTTAGAGCCGCGTCGCCATTGCCGAAGTGCAATTTTGCGATGCCGGTGGGGAGCGATTGCCGAGTGATTTGCGGTCTCGTCCGGCTTGGCAATCTTGAGGTGGCCCGGAGTGTGCTAGAGGGGGGATGGTAGCTGATCTCTACAAGCAAGTAATTGCGGACTGAGCACCGGGCAGTTTTGTCGTCTTTTTCCGATTCGTAAATCTTTCTGCAAGACGTAAATAAACAAGCCTTACCTGCGAGAGAGAGAGAGAGAGAGATATATATATATATATACACCTAAAACTCTATGTGCCTTCGTTTAGTAGTACGTACCCCCTATTTAGTAGGTGTAACCCGTAAAGCTGTAGGTAACTAGTAAATAGGGTCCCAGGTAAACCCTGAGCCCAACAATCTTGCGGAGGCATTGCAGCGGTTTACTCCGGCGTGCTTTGACTGGAGGAGCTGCGACAGCCCCTACGAGGCCTAGGACCCTTCGGGTTTAGGGTTTAGGGTTTAGGGTTCAGGGTTTAGGGTTTAGGGTTTAGGGTTTCGGGTTAAGGTTTTAGGGTTTAGTCTTTTGGGTTTAGGGTTGGCCCTGATTCCCTTTCTTTTGGGGGTTTAGGTCCCTTAGAAGAACCAAACAAAAGGGCACCCTTTTTTATTCCTAGATTACCCTTGGGTCACCCTAAACCCTAAACCCTAAACCCTAAACCCTAAACCCTAAACCCTAAACCCTAAACCCTAAATCCTAAATCCTAAATCCTAACGTTTCACTCCGTCCTGGGTCTAGAGGCACCGATCCTGCATGCGGCAATCTTGGATGGCGTGACCCGCCCGGAGATTCACAAGACCATCCTGGACATCCTGACACCCAGACCAAGTTTGTGTTTTTTTCACATCCGGTTTAGTTTAGGGTTTAGGGTTTAGGGTTTAGGGTTTAGGGTTTAGGGTTTAGGGTTTAGGGTTTAGGGTTTGGGGTTTGGGGTTTGGGGTTTGGGGTTTGGGGTTTACTGTTAGGGTTTAGGGTTTAGGGTTTAGGGTTTAGGGTGAGGCCCTTACTCCCTTTGTTTTGGGGGGGGGGGGGGGGGGGGGAAGAGTTGGGTTCCTTTAGAACCCTCTTTACACCAGTCCTAGGTTGCTCTTGGGTCTAGTTTTGCTAGGTGCTATGTGCTATGTGTAGGGGAACCAGAAGGGTTTAGGGTTTAGGGGTTAGGGCCCACAACTCAGCCCCCAAACCCCAGACCCCAAGAGGGTCTTTAGGCCGCAATTCCCAAAAGGGGGGCAAACCCTAAACCCTAAAACCCTAAACACCTACACTATAAAACCCCAAACAGGGGGGGGGGGGGGGGGGGGGCCCTAAATCCTAAAACCCTCAACGCCCAAAAGTGCCCAGAGTAGGCACTTTTTCCTCTCTTGAGGGTGCAGAACCAGAAAGGGCACCTTTTTTTTGTTTCCTATGTTACCCCCGGGTCAACCTATATCCTGAGCCCTTCTTATTTCTGGTTTACCCTAAATCCTAAACCAAACCCTAAACCCTAAACCCTAAACCCAAAAATCCTAAACCCCAAACCCTAAACCCCAAACCCTAAACCCTAAACCCCAAACCCCAAACCCTAAACCCCAAACCCTAAACCCTTGTGTCTAGGACATGGCTCCTCCGGATGGGTGCCGATCCTAAACAGGAGGCACCCGCGGGTGCCCACAACTTCGATGCTGGGTCGCGTGTATAGGGTTTAGGGTTTCGGGTTTAGTGTTTAGATGGGTTTAGGGTTTAGGGTTAAGATGGGTTTAGGGTTTAGGGTGTAGAGTTTCGGGTTTAGGGTTTAGTTTTTTTTTGTTTTTGCCTGCTTCCTTCCCGTTTGGGTTTCCGGCTTCATAGCTTTCACGGGTCGAAAGCACAAGTCAGGACATCTGGAAGACGAACCAACGAGAGGAGACAACCGTCAATGTCAACTTGGTCGGGCACACTGCTTTGTCGCTCACGCTGGCCTTGCATGAAGCTCTCTGGGGCGCCTTTTTAGGGAATGAAGCCCTAAACACTAAGCCCCAAACGTCTTTGTAGTGCATAGGCGTTTTTTGGAAGTACAACCGCAACCCATACCCTAAACCCTAGCCCTACACCCCAAACCCTATAAATTCCAAACCCTAAGCCCTGAGCCCTAAACCCCAAACGGCTTTTGTGCGTAGGCTTCTCTGGGCAGGGTTGTAGTCGGAAAAAGTCCCGGGGTGCGGAAGCCCTAAACCCTGAACCCTAAACCCTGAACCCTAAACCCTGAACCCGAAACCCTGAACCCTGAACCCTCCAAAAGTTTCCTAAGGGGTGGATTGGCAAGTCGAGCGCAGCTTTTTGGAGTCCGTTGTCTCCGTGATCTCAACACCGCCACGGGCAAGTGAGACTTTGCAGCCCAGTGGCGCCCTTTTTGCCTTTTTTGCCGCCACTTGAGGGTTTAGGGTTTAGGGTTTATAGGGTTTATGGTTTAGGGTTTAGGGTTTAGGGTTTAGGGTTTAGGTTTAGGGTTTAGGGTTTAGGGTTTAGGGAAGGTTCCATTATACAGTAACCCCTTGTTTTTGTATGGTAACTGGGCTACCAAGGAGAAGGTCACCATCAATCCGGGTGTCTTGGTAGGCCATATGGGGGATTTTGAATTTCCTTTAGTGGGTATAAAGGGGATCATGCGAAAATACAGGACCCCTAATATAAACCCTCGAATAGTAGGATTCCCTTGTAATAGGGACTCCAACAAGGTAGCCACTGATATCGTAAACCCCCATGTTTAGGAATAGCCCAAAACCCAAAACCCAAAACCCAACACCCAAAACCCAAAACCCAAAACCCAAAACCCAAAACCCCAAACCCAAAACCCAAAACCCAAAACCCAAAACCCAAAACCCAAAACCCAAAACCCAAAACCCATGCCTACAGGGGCTTTTAGGGGGGCGTTCCCACCGAGGTGTGCTCGATAGATGGGAGGCCGTCTTGGAGATCCTTGGAGGCTACATGAACCCTAAAGCCCTTGTTAAGCCCTAGGGTTTAGGGTTTGGGGTTTGGGGTTCAGGGTTCAGAGTGTAGGGTTTAGTTCAACTCTTCTAGTATGCCTGGGTTAGGATCGCAGTGCTAGTTCCCCTTGCAGTCGTTCCCAAAAAAGGGGTTCCCTTATATTACCCGCAACACACGTTACTCCTCGTTGTAGGATCCCACCCCCCAAAAAAAGTGGAAAGAGGGAGCCCCCTAAACCCTAAACCCTAAACCCTAAACCCTAAACCCTAAACCCTAAACCCTAAACCCTAGGCACTCCTTGAAGTCGAACCCAAGGATGACCGACACGCACAACGTGACGTTCGAAACCGCAGACGGTGAGGTGACAGCCCACGACCCGTGGGTGAGCATCTACGTAAACTTTATGTACGTAAGCTTGGGTTCAGGTTAGGGTTTAGGGTTTAGGGTTTAGGGGTTAGGGGTTAGGGGTTAGGGTTTAGGGTACGTAGGCTTTATGTACGTAAGCTTTGGTTCAGGTTTAGCATGAATCATGCAGATGCTATAAATAGGAATTTGCTAGAGTTCATCCCTAAGCTACCCTAAAGCCACAAGCCCTAAAACCCTAAATCCCTAACACCGTGCTAAAGCTCAAAGCCTTCAACCATGAAGAGCAAGCTACCAAGGACATGGTCCTTGCCGCAGCATCTCCCGTTCTGAAAGCCATGCTGGAATCCTGCATGGTAGAAGGTATCTGTGCATTCCAGTTGTACCATGTTTTCCTCTTTGGGTTTCTGAGTTCCTTTGCAAAGATCAAACGGACAAGAACAGACCCCAGTTATAACATGTTGCGGTTTAGGGTTTAGGGTTTAGGGTTGAGGGTTGAGGGCCCTAACCCCTAAACCCTAGACCCTAAACCCCAGACCCCTAAACCCTAAACCCTAATTTAAACCCTAAAACCTAAACCCTAAACCCTAAACCCGTATAAGGGTGCTTGCGAGCTGAGCACCCTCTTTAAGAACAATTGCGTTCTTGTGATGACATGAAATAGAAACTAGAAGGTTTTCCTAACGCTAAGGGTGGGTGGGTAGATATTCGATACCGGAGTCATGAGATGCTGAACCCTAAGCCCGAAACCCTAACCCTAAACCCAAGGTGTGCAAAAGCGCATAAAAGTCCTCAACGACCCAAGCAGCGGTGTCTCACTGTTCCTTCGTCCGAGTTGGGTAACATTTTACATGTTTAAGGATTCTTAAACCCAATAAGGACCCTCAACCCTAAACCCTAAACCCTAAACCCTAAACCCTAAACCCTAAACCCTAAACCCTAAACCCTAAACCCTAAACCCTAAACCCCATGAAAGAGGTTCCTCGACATGCTCTACACGAATGCCACGAGGAGGAACCCCGACCACCAGACCCTTGGGGGACCAAGTGAACCCAACATTTTGGGGTGTAGGGTTTAGGGTTTAGGGCTAGGGTTTAGGGTTTAGGGTTTAGGGTTTAGGGTTTAGGGTTTAGGGCTTAGGGCTTAGGGTTTATAGGGTTTATAGGGTTTAGGGTTTAGGGGTCATCATATCCTATGCGCTTATAATGCCTTTTAAGGTTCTATGAGAACCATCACCCTAAACCCTAAACCCTAAACCCTAAACCCTAAACCCTAAACCCTAAACCCTAAACCCTAAACCCCTTTTTGGGGGTCCTTCGGTTCCCCACGAGGACCACACTGGTGGCCTTGGACTTGGCGCACCGCTGGCAGGTGGAGAATGTGGTGCAGGTCCTGGCAGATGTACTTCAGGACAGGGTTTAGGGTTTAGGGTTTAGGGTTTAGGGTTGAGGGTTTAGGGTTTAGGGTTTAGGGGTTAGGGGTTAGGGGTTAGGGGTTAGGGTTCAGGGTAAAGGGTAACCAGCCCTTATTGAGGTTTGGGTTCCCTTATAATAAGCCCCTGTAAACCAAGACAGATCTGGGTTGGCTTTTAGAACATTTCATGTTCTTCCTTACCTGGCTGTAGAAGGGACCCAATATATATGTATCATTGGAGAGAGAGAGAGAGAGCGTTTTTGTTTTAAAGGTTTTTAAGGCCAACGCAGAGATACGTTGTAAAGCGCAACCCCCCAGAACTGCACCCTAAACCTTCAAAACCCTCAGCCCGAGACCATAAACCATCCTAAGCCCTTAATCCCCAAAACCCTAAAGCCCAAAGCCCAAACCCCAAACCCCAAACCCTAAACCCTAAACCCTACATCCCAAACCCTAAACCCTAAACCCTAAAAGCCGCAGGACATGATAGGGGTTCACAGCTTCATCGACATCACCGAGGCGGCGGTGCTCAAGAAGCTTCAGTCGCTCGAGAGGGCGTGCGTCTCCTTCGGGACAAAGAGCCTTGGTCGGGTTTAGGGTTTAGGGTTTAGGGTTTAGGGTTTAGGGTTTAGGGTTTAGGGTTTAGGGTTTAGGGTTTAGGGTCATTCGACATGTTTTTGAATGTTTTTGTTTGGGGTTAAGTGTTTCGGAGTTCAGACTTAGGGGTTTAGGATTGAGCGCTTCTGTTTGTGAACGTCTCTTGGGGTTAGAGCTTGTGGCTTAAGTTTTACTAGGGTGTTTGGGGGTCTGTGGGGTTGAGGGCCAACAAGGATGTGCTTTTTTGGTTGACAGAATTTTGCGGGTGCGTAGAATTTGTTCACGTTTTATTACTGTTTTGATGTGTTATCTATTGGACGAAACGGATGTCCCTGCTGTAGGAGCTTTTTTGGCTACACCCTGAACCCTTAACACCCTAAACCCTAAAGACCCTAAGCCCCAAAGACCCTAAACCCTAACCCTAGACCCTAAACCCTAAAGACCCTAAACCTTCACCCTAATACCTTTACGGGCTTAAGTGCGGCATCTTCTGGAGGAGTGTCTCAGAGGCTACAGGGTTTAGGGTTTAGGGTTCAGGGTTTAGGGTTTAGGGTTTAGGCCATCTCCAACCGAGGAGCTCGAAGATCCAAGCCATGTTGCAGAAGCCAGGCACGACCTTGGGAATATTCTAACTAGGGTTTAGGGTTTAGGGTTTAGGTTTTAGGGTTTAGGGTTTAGGGTTTAGGGTTTGAGGTTATTCAGATTCAGGTAGTTGGTAGCCCAGTGGTACCCTTTGCCCCTGTTTTTTGGCTGTTGGGTTTTCTTATACTTATACATGTCACCAACCCAAACAAAAGGGGGTGCCCCTGTCATAACAAGAACGCTGCTGGGCTCCAAGTCGGGTTTAGGGGCTCCGGGTATCATTGTTGTTCTTTTTCGATTCTTTATTGCCGCTCGAGAGAGGGTGCAGGGCAGGGTGCAGGGCCGGGTGTATTTAGGGTTTAGGGTTTAGGGTTTAGGGCTTAAGAAACGGTAGGAGTTTAAGAATGAACATGCACATATATTGGAGGATCTTTTGTAGGAGGAGCCAACTAATGAGTTTGCTGGCCCAAGTGCGGATGTTGGTTTTGCAGAACGCCCTCGACTTCCCTAAGCCTAAAATACCATAAATCCCAAACCCCCATACCCTAAACCCTAAACCCCAAACCCTAAACCCCAAACCCCAAACCCAAAACCCTAAACCCTAAACCCTAAACCCTAAACCCTAAACCCAGGAAGGGAAGCCTTCCGCCCTTGGTCTGCAAGCTGCTGGGGAACTCCGAGGCGAACAAGGAGTCGGCGAAGAAGAAGCGCAAGGTCTACTGAGGGGCTTGAGAAGGGTTCCTGTTTAGGGTTTAGGGTCTAGGGTTTAAGGTTTAGGGTTTAGGGTTTAGGGTTTAGGGTTTAATTACCGGGCTTGTATAGTTTTTTTTTAATCGCATTGATTGGGTTTTTGGTAGGGCTTTTGCAGGTTTTTTTTTATAGCTTTTCTTATCGGTTTTATAGGGCTTGTAGGATTTAAAGGGTTTGATAGGATTAATCGGGCTTTGTGGGGCTTGTAGGGTTAACATCAGGGTTGCAGCTGTCACGGGGATGTTTTTTGACGGGTTTCTTTTGGTCCCTCCTGGTGGTTCTCAGAACGCACAGTGCTCCAGCTGTTGGCCAAAAAAGGACCTCCTTGCGTTTGCTTGCCGAAACCAGCTTCACCCCACCAAAGAAAAAATTAAAGCCCGCAACCCCTAACAAGCCGTAAGCCCAAATAACCCAAACCACTAGAAGCCCGCAAAACGCCCTTTCAAACCCCGATAACTTACTGGCTCAAAACCCAACTTTTCAACTTTTGGGCTTCTTATAAGGTAGCTTATTCTGAAAGTTTCAACTTGTATTTCCTTGGGTTTTGGGCCAGTAAGATAAAACTTTTAAGACCCCTAAAATATCAAAAAACTCAGCACCCCGAAGCACCCGAAGCCCTTGAAACGAATCGAAAGCGCTTAAGGCTTTAGGGTTTGGGGTCTAGGGTTTAGGGTTTAGGGGTTTAGGGGTTTAGGGTTTGGGGTTTAGGGTTTAAGGTTTAGGGTTTGGGGTTTAGGGCAAGTTTAGGGGTAGGGTTTAGGGCCAGGGTTTTCAGGTTTGAGGCTTCGGGGTGTTTAGGGTTTGGGTCATTGTTCCCCATTCTGCTAGCTTCCTCTACACAGCAGGTTGCTAAGGGGACTAGTCTGAAATTTGTTTGTAAGGCTTAAGGTTTAGGTAAAGGTATTTATCGTCCATGGTCCATGGGCTTTAGGAGGGAAGGGGGGGTCGAGGGTACCTTTGTCCCACCTAAGCCCTAAGCCCGAAACCCTTAAGCCTCTACCCTAAACCCCCAAACCCTAAACCCTAAACCCTAAACCCTAAACCCTGTCTTCCCCGAATCCTCCCCCCAAAGTCGGGAGTTGCAGGATTGGGGGCCTCGGGATTCCGGTTCATGTTCGGTGCTTGCGGTTCAGGGCTTCGGGGTTTAGAGCAGGTTTAAGGGCTACCCGGCGGCTACCCGGTTCCTTCTTTAGGGCGTTTCGTGTCCAGGGTCTACGATGTTTTGGGCAGCTTAGCCTTTCACTTCGGGTTGATGCGAATGTCTCCGCCTTACTTTAGGTCAACCATTAACCTCGAAGCCCAAAGCCGCTTGCACCTCCAGCCCCCACCCCCCAAACGCCTAAACCCGAAACCGCAAGGGGCGGAGGGGTCCCAGGTTTCTTGTTTAGGGTCTAGGGTTTAGGGTTTGTTGAGGGACTTCCGGGCCACCCAAGCCCGACAATCCTTATAAGCCCTGCGAGGCGCTTAACCCGAATGCTTTAGAACCTCACACTCAGCGGAGCCCCTGTCCCAGAACCCCGAGATATTTGGGGTTTAGGGCTACTAGGTATAAGATAGGCCTTTGGGATATTTGATATTCCCTTAGTGGGCTTAAGAGGATGATGTTTAGGAATCTTTCTCAGAGGGGTCATCCTAGTACAAGCCCATTTATAAACCCTACAAGCGTTACAAGCCCTGCACACCGACAAGTCACATAAGGCTTAGAGGGTTGATAGGGTTTAAACCCTAAACCCCAAAACCCCAAACCCTAAACCCTAAACTCCAAACCCCAAACCCCAAACCCTAAACCCGAAACCCTAAACCCCAAACCCTAAACCCTAAACCCTAAACCCCAAAACCCTAACCCCTAAACCCTAAACGTCGCCTTGCCCCCGGGCGCCGATGTCAAGCTCAGGATGACAAGGCGAAGCTGCTTCTGCGCCTCGCCCCAGGGGTTTAGGGCTTAGGGTTTAGGGTTTAGGGGTTTAGGGGTTAGGGTTTAGGGTTCAAGGGTTCAGGGGTTAGGGGTTAGGGGTTTAAGGTTCAGAGTTTAGGGTCTCAGGGTTTTGAACTTTAGGATTTTGAGCTCAGGGGTTTTAGGGCTTAGAGGTTGGGGGATTAGGGTTTAGAGTGTAGGGGTTTAGGGTGTTGGGTCATTATAGCATGGACTCTTAATTCAGGGTTCAGTAGTGAGGTAAACGCGATGATCCGTAAAACAGGTCCTGCACAGTATGTTTCAATTTTAGCGTGGGTCTTATCGGGCTTACTTGGGTGTTTTACGGTAAACCTGGGTATCGCAACACGTAGAGCTTTGGCGGTTCAGGGATTAGGCTTGATGCTCCTACTGATTACTAGGTTTAGGTTTAGGGTTTAGGGCTAGGGTTTAGAGTTTAGAGCTTAGGGTTTAGGAGCTAGGGTTTACTGTTTCGGGTTTTGGGGACTTTGGTTCCAAGCTACGGTGGGTAGAGCCGGCATTGGCACGCACACACATATAGCTGGGTTTATTCAGACCTTCTCTTCGAGGGGATTGGCCTGACACTCCCCTCGGGTTCCTGATGCAATTCGGCCTTTTACTAGTCAGAAGGACAGGGAAAAGTACAAGTGTGCCAAAAAGCAGGCGACGGAAGGCTTTAAGGGCAAAGGGTTTAGGGTTTAGGGTTTAGGGTTTTAGGGGCAAGTGTATGGCATGCTATCCGAAGCCCTAAACCTTAAACCCTTTTTGGAGTTGGATTACGGTGTTAACCGTTCAAGGGTTACTAGGGTATTCTAGGAGTCCAGGGGGGGGTTTAGGGTTTTAGGGTCTAGGTTTAGGGTCTAGGGCCTAGGGGAAGTTTAGGGTTTATGGTTTAGGGTTTACTGAGGTATCCAATTTGGTCTGGCATCCAGATGGGGCTTTGCTCCTGGTGCAAGCCGTTCCTCAACAATCAGGCAGACGCCTGCCTCAGCAAGAGAGCTCTGTGAAGCCTTGAAGCCTCGAGGTCCCCCTAAACCCTAAACCCTAAACCTTAAACCCTAAACCCTAACTGGGCCTAACTCCTAAACCCCACGCCTTCACCCCCGGCTCAGAGGAGGTTGAAGCCTGCACGGAGTTCAGGAGTTGGTTTGCAGGTTCGCCCAGGCTGAAAGAGAAACTCTTCTCACTAAACCCTAAACCCTAAACCCTATGCGGAGCTGCAATTGGTATTGTAGAAAGGAGTTCGTGTTGGGGTTGGATGGGTCAATGAACCCGGAAATCATATTTGGCTCAAGATGGCCCAGAGCCGTCCGCTTTTCGTTGAAAAGGTTGTGTCCGTTTGTTGGGTGTTGGGTCTTGTGGGAGGTAGTAGTCCCGACCCTTCTCCCCTGGCCTTTCCCTCAAGGGTGGGGTTCTTCTCTTACTGGTTCGATCTGGGAAATCCATATAGGCAACTGTTAAGGGTTGATTTCTTTCCCTTTTCCCCTTCGGTTGCCCCCGTAGGTTATGAGCCCAAATTAGGTTCCCTGCGGTTAAGTGTTCTTTCAAGATCTTTGGGATCAAGAAGCAATGCCTTCTCCGAAGCGATGGCTCCAACCTGCCTCGGATGGTGGACAGAATGGTGGAGCTGGAAATGGTGCAGCTGAGTCTCTGGGTGAAAGATCGGTGCTGGAAGAGGTGATTCCCGGCGCTGAAGAACATCTGGAAGAAGTCTTGGTTGCAGAAAGCCCCAATGTGGGTATGAGTCCCAATGTGGATATGGTTAGCAATGCTGAAGCTGAAGGACGCGCTGTCTCTGTATCGCCAAAGCCTGGTGAAAAAAGGAACTGGGACGCGACTGGTGGTATAGATCGTGAAATGGAGGTGACTGTTTTACGAGTGTTGCAAAAACACGGGTACCAGCCGTCGACTTCGACTTCGGGTCGAATGGTAGACCAAGGGTCTCAGACCGATCTGATTGGAGAAGTGCCGCAAGCAACCAGGAGGCCTCTGAACAAGATCAAAAGGGGTCCGTCTTCGAGTTCCCAAGGTGGTGGAAGCGGTCAAGAACAGAAGGGTGCGGACAGCTTTGAAGCTGCACCTGCTGCTGAATACGCCATGGGGGAGGAGGAGATCCTACAGATGGAGGCTGAACGGTTGCGACAGCTGTCAGAAGAAGAGGACGAGATGCGTCAGGTCCCGGAAAGGGATGGTTTTCGGAAAGATGAGCATCTGATCCAAGCGTGTGATGGCACAATGTGGGAATGGCACCTCCATGAAGATGGGAGACAATATTATTACTGCCTGGATACGCAGGAAAGCAAGTGGACATTGCCGGGTGTAGGTGAAAAGATGAAGAGTGACGAGGTGGTCGGGTCTCCTTCGGGCAATGAGCTGGAAATGGAGGCGGCACTGGGTTCTTCATCCTCTACTCCGAAGACTGAGTCTACGAGGGCATTCCAGGGTAGTGTAAATAGTTTAGGTGAAAAAGATTTTTCCTCTACTATCAGGGATAGCGGTCCTAGGGCTGGTGGTGACGCCCCGACCTCGGGTTCTCCTGATGAGGAGGGGATTCCTGGAAACCGAGCCGACATCGCTGGAGCTCAACATCTGGATCGGGAAGGAATGGGAGCGCTTTCTGAGGGTGTGGCAGCGGTGGAATCGGTAGGTCCAGAAGAAAAAATTCCCAATGTGGAGATCGGAACTGTGTCGGCTGCAGAAGAGCGAGTGGTGGATGTGGTACCTGTCGTTCAGGAAGGTGGTCCTGGAGATTCGGAAGACGGAGGGGAAAAGTTGTGTGTTACGACTGAGGAGGTCTCTTCGTTTGGTGCCAAGATTCCTGCCATTCAAGGGGAAAAAGAAGCTTCTGGAATAGCTGGAGACACGGAAGATCTGAAAAATGAGGCCTGGAGCGCCAATGATGCGCGGGTCAATGCGCCAGATAGTACCTGGAGTGCGAAGGAAGCACGGGTTGAGGTGCATATGGTGTCACGTTCCACGGGCGACTGCAACAATGGGGCGCAGGTCTCCGCAGCAGCTGATGATGGAGGTTCACAGGTGG